AACGTAACATTCAGTTCAGCCTCCATCGAGCTTCTCCAAGTTAAAACGATAATGATTAAAAGAGAATTACAGGAAAGGTAGATGTGAATAGCACAGAGTTTGAATTGGATCATATTTCCTTTGCCATATATACTTATCTGATCCAGCACCTACAAAACAATCTTCAGACTGAAGCGTTTGAATTCTGTGGGCTCTTTTTTATAATATGTGCTTTTCCCTCAGAGGAATCCCTACAGCTGTCCTCCAAGAGTCCATGATCATTTTAAACTCTAGAGGCTGAAGTAAAAAGTTTGCAGTTTGTTTTTGCAGTTTGTTTTCAGCTTCGATGCTGAAAAGTTCCCAGTTTTCTCTATCAGTTCACCCGGCTATAACATGACTGGAAAGTGCCATAACTCATAATTAGGAGCAAATGATCTGATAATTAATAAATATGGAGCATTCAAATATCAGGGACTTTGAAAAAATAGAAACCGAAAAAGTGCTTGACTTGTGGCATGTGTTCACCTGATATGAACTGATATGAACACTGAACTTTTGCGGAAATTTTATTTTAAAGCAAAAGTCTGAGTCCGTCTGAGGAAGTGTGCACTAGAATTTTATTAAAAGGGAAAACGTCATGAAGTGAGAACAGCCTGAACGACCATAAAAATGGTTCTTATGATGCACTAAGCCGCTCGTAAGTAAAACAAATCATGGTGCATTTTATACCCCTCTGAACCTGAAATGAGACCTAAAGTCTGTCTTTCATCCTGGATCTGTATTAAACAATCTTCAAGACAAAAGATTGTTGGACAAAATATGAGGAGACCTTTTCTGAGACCTTGAAGGAGGAAAGAACCTTTGAAATCTTTAATTGTGGAAAGTTACCAAAGAGAAGTTAAGAAAGTGATTATACATATATTGATTTCTCTCACAGTGTACAAAAAAACAATGTCATCCTGATTTAATGCTGATTCCAATTGAACTAATATCCACACAGAAAAGCATTAATAAAGCAGAAGAATTATGCATATTTTTGGGTTCACTTTACAACATTTATGCATGGTTCTTCAGTGTGTAAATATTTGTGTCATCCTTCCAGGACTCAATTATCTTCTTCATTTGTAATTTTCCTAATTCCATCAAATGACTGCAAATAAGATATTATTGTATGTCTGCTAAATGTTTGAGCCTTCTACATAAATGTACCGTCAATAATGAATATTTACCCAAAGGAGGAGGTCATTGTGAGAAAAAACTGGGATAATTCCTAAAATTGTTCACAACCTTTTCAACAAAAACACAGATCACTCAAGGTTCAGCTCAGGTTGTTGGTATTCTTCCTCAAACTTATAAACAAAAAATCAGCAGACTAAATTAACTGAGCTAAAAAAAAATATTATATATATATATATATATA